TCTGAACAAGATATCATCGATGTCAGATGATGGCCCGTCAGATAGTGCTATGAGTGATCGCAAGCAGCCACGAATCACAAAGAAAGCACGCATGTCTAAACGAGAATTGAGCTGAAACTGTTCGTGGTAAAAACACTAGTAAGGCTACACCAGACGGTAAGTGCTTTGCTTATTTTGCATGAAAATCCCCCTTCAATATAACCGAAATCCAGCACTCCGCGTTTCTAACACCAGTGCTGTTCACTCGAGTACTCTGATATGATATTCACTCACTGTTCAGTGTGCCAGTTGCACGAGTACTTGATCACTCACATAAACTGAGTTGGTCGCCCTCAGTGTATTGTGGCCTCGCTATGCTAATGTATCACAATTGCTTATGCTCACCTGGATTTTATTGAGCGCTTGCAGTGCAATAAACATTGTGCATCTCAAGGTATACACATTCACGACTCGATCTTCTCGATTCACTTCAATTCACTCGTAAATAAATCATGAACATGATGATGATGATGATGATGATGATCTAGAAATAACGATGTGAATAAGTAATAATGAATGGAGTTATTAAAATTGGTTATATGAAGAGATTTATTGTTAGGTGAATGAGTGAGTGTTCAGTAATAAACTGACTGAACAAACATGAAAAATCGCTCCATTTACCTAAGATTTAACTTCCTCATATAACCAACCAATTTTATAACAACTCCACCTTCATTTCTAAATCATCATCTTCATGACTTGTTTGACGTACACAATGTCTATGATTATTATTCACCACTTGATTAGTAATTTGATTAAACTGTGAAAGTAAATATTAGCGTAGAGCCCGTGACGAAGATGTGATTGAAAAGGAATATATTTGTTCAATTGTTCGCTCGGTCAGTCTTTTTCTAAATATCTTTATGGAAATATTCAGTGTGCTGAAGCCTTTTCAGCATCGAATTGCGTCAAAGTTTCTCAATGAGTAACTGAAGTACAACGCAAGGCTCTCTTATGCCAAGGTGTTACTGTAGATTTTATCGACAAATGGATTTCAACGATGTGTTACCCTAAATAATATTGAAGATTTTTCCGACGCTTCGTGTTTCAGCCTACTGAAAGAGCCCTGAAACATTATGCTCTGAATGAGGTTGACTCACTATTATCTTATTCTGGTGAAATGTGGAAAAATGTTACAGAGAGATTCCACGCTGTAGAAGGGCTTCCGGAAAATTTAAAACAGGAATTTTTGAGTTATGTAGAGAATGTTGTCAATGCATGGAAGGAAAAGAAGCGCATTAAGTTGATTAGAAGTCTTGAAAATCGAACACCAGAGATGAGATTCCCGACTAACCCAGGTCAGTTTGTGCACAATTTTTCTAGTATCGATGCTGATGTTATACACAATTAGAAGTTTTTTTCACTTGGATCAAACTTTTGTGACAGTCGTGATACGATCAGTAAGATGGAAACAGAAGTGCAGTTTGCAAACTTGTGTACACAGATTGAAGGTTTGGTACCATCATCTAGTGAAGACGTTGATAGACTTAAGACTACACTCGTTGACTCCTGCCTTAAGCACATGAGTAGTAGAAACCGTAAAAAGAGTATTTTAACGAAGAAAACAGAGAAGCTTTGCAAAAGCTTAAAACGTATGCAGATACCATGACTATTAAGCCAGATAAAAGAACAGGAATAGTTTTGATGGATAAAAAGGACTACATAAAGAAAATGAATGCTTTACTTAGTGATGAGAGTAAATTTCAGGAATTAGTCGCTTGTGATGATGTGACAGAGAAAACTGAGAAACATCTAACCGTATCACTGAAAAAAGATAAAACAACAGTGTTTCATTTCAGAAAGCACCTTTGAAATGCTCAAACCCACTGGAACCTTTACACCTAGACTTTATGGTCTACCAAAACTGCATAAAAACGGTCTGCCTCTCCGACCAGTTCTCGATATGATAAACACTCCGTATCAAACAAACCGCAAAATGGTTAGCCCAACTCTTGAAGCCTCTCCACAAAGAAGTTGTAAAGTAAATTCTCAAAGATACCTTTGAATTTGTTGAAGAGACTGAGGATCTGAAAGTAGATAATAAGCTAGTGATAACGTATGATGTTTCACCTCTTTTGACTAATGTTCCTTTAATGGAGGCAGTAGATTTTATTTGCAACGAACTTAATAAGCACGGTATGGAAATAGGTGTTCCAGTCTCCATATTGAAAGAACCACTTCTGAAGTGTACGTTGAACGCACAATTCCTTTTCAGCAATGAACTCTACAGACAGTCTGATAGTGTAGCTATGGGGTCGCCCGTTGGCCCGCTCTTAGCATATGTTTTCTGGCATAACTAGCGAATGGTTCACTGAACGAAACTATTAGCTGTTTAGAATTATATTGTTATTACGTGGATGATACTTTTGTAGTTCTCAAGAGTGAGATTGACAAGAATACTGTTCTCAATGAGTTCATCCAGCAATCAACTTCACAATGGAAGAGGGGGAAAATGACAGTATCCCATTTCTTGATGTTTTGTTGGTAAGAAGGTTAGGTGGAACTCTGAAACAAAGTGTATGTAGAAACCAACGTCTACAGGTCAATACACTTGTCTAGTGATTTGCCCCTCCAATACAAAAGGAACCTAGCATACCGCGCCATAGCTATTCGCCCAGATGATGCTATAACGGAAGAATTCACCACCATCCATGATCTGCTTAGTAGGAATGGCTATCAGGCGAAGCTTTTGACTAAGCATATGAATGTTACGATGGTTAATAAAAAACGCCAACAGTTCCTAAGAAGCAAATCTTCTTGAAGCTGAAATTTAAGAGTGACATTGCCGGTGAGATCATCACACAACCCATAAAAAGAGTCTTGTATACAGCATTCCCAGCCTCCAAACTATGTGCCATCTTCTAGAGTCGCGGGATTCTAGGTGCAAGAAATAGAGACAAAGTGCTTAATTCTACCACTTCCATGTCCATTTATCAGTTCAACTGCTAATGTGGAGCTAGTTACATTCGGCGTAGAATGAGGCAGTTCCATCGCCGAACTTTTGAGCACCACATATCATGGTTGAGCAAGGGACAAACTAGAACAACAAAGAGCTCCATACTTGCGTACCTAGTTGACATGGGACACCAAGTGGATGCTAGAAAAGCTTTCAAAATTATTCATCATATCTCAATTAATTTATCATATGGATTACGCACTTGTTTACTTGGCCTAGCAGAGGCGGTTGCAATTCGCCTTTACAAAGTTAACCTTTACACTCGAAAGAAGATTGTCAGACCACTTTCATTAACGTGGCAGTTGATATGATGTAAATTCTAGTATTAATTCGTAAACCTATTCCCCTTCCTGTTTCTGTCAGTAGTCATTTTTCTTCCTCATGATAACGTAATCACTTATAATTTAGGACTGAACGCCTATCAAAAATCATTAAATTTACCTAAGAATAAAAGTCTTCATATAACCAATTTTAAAAACTCCCCTTTTCTTGCTAATCTTTATCTTCATAACTTGATTAATGTTCACCAAACACCACCAAGCGCATGCTAATTTGATCAAATCGTAAAATTATGTACTAATGTATAGCTCAAGACGAATACCTAATTGCAAAAAATGAATTCATTCCCTCGATCAATATGTCTTATTTTTGATCCCTATTTGAAAATATTCAATCATTTACTTCAGCTTGTGTGTGAACACTGTTCAAAAATGACTCCATGCGGCTGAAAAACACATCTTCATATGACGAATTTTTTTATCCCCACCGCTATATATAAATTAACATCTTCATGGCTCGACATACTTAAAACCTATGATAACTGTTCCACACCCCACACAACACATGATTAGTAGTTCGACTAAATTAAAACACTATATATAATATATGCTTAGAGCCATAAATTGTAGTGGGTTCCCTTCATCACTATAAAAGGCAGTTTCAAACACTACAGGTTAGATACATTTTTTCTCGTTGTTTGTAACTTCTTACTGAAAAATTGCATATCATGATACAGTAGGTAAGTAGGTAAGTTGATGACCTTAATGTAGGCGTAGGACTTGAGCACTATGATAGTGTATGGAATTCTTCGAGAGTCTGTTTGTTAGATATTTTGCACAGTGAACCGGAACAGTATTTTTACTGGATGATGTTTCGAACAGAAATCGACTCTTCATATTCAAACCTTTAATATGAATGTGAAGAGTCAATTTCTGTTCGAAATATCATCCAGTAAACAGTAAATAATACTGTTTTATTACATATTAGTTGGTTGGAGGCAATCGGCAGGAAGCCCTACCTTATCTAGGTTTCGTGCTTCTTGGCACTTGTCAGGAGGGCGTATCTGGAACCTCGATGCAATTGATATCCCGCCTTAGATTGGAATCCGAGTCACCCACTTAGTGTTTCATTGAGAGACGTTACTACTGATATATTTGGGTCGTACTTGTGAGCACAATGAATGTCTTCTGGCAGATGACAAACGTTTTTACCATCAAATATACCTATAAACTCATTTAAATAAACAATAACTTTGAAAAACACTTTTGAGTAATGCAGAGATTAATGGAATTTTTTCCTCCCTTCAAATGACATTCATAGGTCTGTGAAATGTCAGAGTATAAGTGTGAATAGTGTTGTTGCATGTATTATCGTGTCGCTGAGTTGACCGAATTGATCCGTGTCTACTAGCATATGGGCTGGTGCATGGATGCCTCGATATTGCCTGTTTGAGAAATGAAGCATGTAGCAAGAGTGGTTGTCTTTGAAACTATCTTGTAAACTACGAGTATTGTGTGAAATGAAAGTGACTGGGTAACCGGAGTTTTCAGAATCTAAGCAAAGATGTACTGGGTCATTTGTTTTCAAATTCAAACTACCATTTTCATGAAGCAGACGTTGATGCATTGTTCAACGTTTATGTCATCGACAGGCAACATTATTATAGCTACCATTATTGTTATTTTGACATCTCATTATTGAAATTAAATGTTTCTCGGGGACTCCAGTCTTTGAATATTATATATCTCTATATATCTCTAAATCTATATATATATATATATATATATATTATTATTATTAGTCCCTTGGGTTCCTAGTGGAACATAGGGCTTCAGTAGCACGTCTCCATTTCATCCTGTTCTCTGAGATCTTTTGAACCTGGTTCCACGACAGGCCACAAGCTCTCATTTCCTCTTCGCACGACCTCCTCCATGTCATCCTCGGCGTCCAACTCGTCGCTTCCCATGGGGATTCCACTCGAGGGCCTGACGCGTGATGTCCCCAGTCGGCCTTCTCAGTGCATGCCCAATCCATCTCCACTTCTTCCTGCATATTTGTTGCGTGATAGGTTCTTGGTTGGTTCGTTCCCAGAGTTCCTTGTTGCTTATTCTTTCTGGCCATCTGATCTTCAGTAGCGAGCGTAAGCAGTTGTTGATGAATGTCTGTAGTTTATTGGAAATGCCTTTCGTGACGCGCCAAGTCTCTGAACCATACATGAGCACTGACTTGACGTTGGTGTTGAAAATCCGTATCTTGTTCCGCATGCTGAGTGCAGAAGATCTCCACACTGGTTTCAGGCTAATGAAGGCCTGTCTTGCTTTTCCGATTCTGACTTTGACGTCCTCGTCCGTCCCGCCTGTAGTTGAAACAGTGCTTCCTAGATAAGTGAAGGAGGTTACTTCCTTTAAGTTTCTCCCGTTGATGGTGACTGGAGTTTGTTGTTGTTGTTGATGGTGGTGTTGCGGTATCTTCATCACCTCTGTCTTCTCTATATTCACTTGAATTCCCGTCTTCGCTGCCTCTTCTATCAACTTGTTAGTTTTTGCCTGCAGATCTTCAAGTTTATGTGACATCAGGCACAAGTCATCGGCGAAATCCAAGTCTTCTAGGTTCTTTTCCGCCGTCCAGCGTATCCCCCTCTTCTCGCTGCCCACTGTTTGCTGCATGATCCAGTCCACCACAATCAGGAATATCATGGGGGATAGTAGGCAACCTTGTTTCACTCCTGTCTTCACCTCACTTCAAAAGCATCACTGAGCTTCCCATTGTGAATTACTTGGCATGTGGCATCTTCATACAGTTGTTGGATGAGGTGGATAAAGGTTTGCGGTACTCCGTAGTAGTGAAGCAGTTTCCAAATTACTTCTCGGTCGACGCTGTCAAAGGCCTTCTCAAAGTCGATGAAGTTGAGGTAGAGAGCTGATTGCCATTCTATGCTCTGTTCTATGATGATGCGAAGCGTTGCAATTTGGTCTGCACATGATTTGTACTTCCTGAAGCCTGCCTGTTCTGGTCGTAGTTTTGAATCCAGTGCATCTTTAAGCCTCTCCAGGATGATGCGGCTTAATATTTTACTTGGGGTGGACAGGAGAGTGATTCCGCGCCAGTTCTTGCAAACACTGAGGTCTCCTTTCTTCGGCAGTTTGACAAGGTAACCCTTCTTCCAATCGTCAGGTACCTTCTCTTCCTTCCACACCTTCTGCAATAGTGGTGTGAGCATGTCTGCTGTTGTCTCTGCATCTGTTCTCAGTGCTTCTGGCGGTATCCCATCTGGTCCTGCTGCTTTCCCACATTTCAGTAGCTTTATGGCGTTCAGGACTTCCATTTTCGTTGGGGGATTTATGTTCACTTGTAATTCAGCGGCTGCAGGTGGTATTTCTGGACGAAGTGCAGGTGGTGGTCGATTCAAGAGCTTCTTGAAGTGGTCGGCCCATCGTTTCCTTTGTTTCTCTTCTTTCGTAATTAAATTTCCTTCTT